GTGGAGAATTGGCCATTTGGAGCCTCAAAAGCAACATTTTCAAGCCGGTCCTGGAAGTGTCTTTTCTAGAGTTTATAAAAAAACACACACGCTTTAGCTCAAATGTAGAATTATGTCAGGTTTTTTTTCGATTTTTCATGTTTATCATTTTCCCTTTTTTTCTCTCGCCAAAATTGCACCTCTGTCATGAAGTTGTGTACGATCTGACCGTAAATGCGGGAATTGACTCTGAAAATGAAAAATATTGAAAAAATCAAAATATTGAAAAATAAAAAATGAAAAATGCAAAAACATGCGGCTGACATTCGGGCGACGTGACAAGTCATGCACGATCTGACCGCAATCTGCCGTGATAAAAGTCGTGTGCGACCTGACCTACCTTAAATCACTGCGGTCGTGATAAAGAGTTGTGCGATTTGACCGTCATTCTGCGGTGATTCCGCGGAGACTAAAGTTGTAATACGATATGACCGTAATCTGTCCTGAGAATTTGAGGAGACTAAAGTTGTGTACGATCTGACCGTAATTCTGCGGAGACTAGAGTTGTAACACGATCTGACCGTAATTCTGCGGAGACTAAAGTTGTGTACGATCTGGCCGTACGTCTGCGGAGACTAAAGTTGTGTACGATCTGACCGTAATTCTACGGAGACTAAAGTTGTAACACGATCTGACCGTAATTCTGCGGAGACTAAAGTTGTATACGACCTGACCGTAATTCTGCGGAGACTAAAGTTGTATACGATCCAACCGTAATTCTGCGGAGACTAAATTACTAAAGTTGTATACGATCTGACCGTAATTCTGCGGAGACTAAAGTTCTAACACGATCTGACCGTAATTCTGCGGAGACTAAAGTTGTATACGATCTGACCGTAATTCTTACGGAGACTAAAGTTGCTAATATTGTCATTGTGTCAGATCTGACCGTCATTCTGCAGAGACTAAAGTTGTATACGATTTGACGGTAATTCTGCGGAGACTAAAGTTGTATACGATCTGACCGTAATCCTGCGGAGACTAAAGTTGCATACGACCTGACCGTAATTCTACGAAAACTAAATTTGTGTACGATCTGACCGTAATTCTGCGGAGACTAAAGTTGCAACATGTTGTCATTGTGTACGATCTGGCCGCAATTTTGCGGAGACTATTATTTATTATATTAAAGTCATCTAAATCTATCTCTGGACGTGCAGGGTCCCCAATGATACTCAATGTATTCTTGAATTGAAGGTACGGCTTTGCCACTTTCCTCTTGCTGCTCTGTTTCCCCTTGCCTTCAAGAGACCAAACATAGTCGTTCGCAGGGCCAGGGCTGAACTCATACTCCTTCTGCAGCCGTGTTACGCACATACATACATCAATCACACATACATACTTACACACCTACATACTTACATAAATGACATAGATACAGAATGACACATAGATACATACACACACACACACATACATACATACATACATACATACATACATACATACATACATACATACATACATACATACATATGTGCGTAGCTACACATACTGACAGTCGTCTGGCATACACGCGCACATACATACATACATACATACATACATACATACATACATACATACATACATACATACATACATACATACACACATACATACATATAGTAATATACATACCACCCAACCAACCAACCAAACAAACAAACAATAAGCAAGCAAGCAAGCAAGCAAACAAACAAACAAAGAAACAAACAAACGAACGAACAACACACAATTGTTGAACTGTTGTCAGTTGTTACAACAAACAATAATAACCAACAAAAGCTAGCAACACACGTCACACAACTGTTACAACAAACAATAATAACAAACAAACAACCGTGCAACAAAAGTCAATTGACAACAGCAACAACAGCAACAACAGCAAGCACGAATAATAAGGAACGAACAAGAACGAAAGCCAGACGTTGAAAATGACAAGTTGCCGACAAAGCCCGACAAAAACCGACAAAAAGCAACAGAATCAGTCAAAAAACGTCAAAAGCGCAAAACTGGCCCAAGATGACAAAGTCTTTAACAATCTGTTCCCGTACGATCTGTTCCCCAAACAAATTTTGAGGAAGGGATGAACATGGCAGCTAAGTGCAACTTGGGTGGGCAGGATCCAGTGGTTGTGCCCTGAGCCTGGGCGACTGGATATTCTGCAAAGAGGGTTCGCAGCCAAGGGGGGCGAGGGGGCCAGCCCCCCGCCATCTTTCTTCAGGCTCTCCTTGCAGTGACGCACGGAAATCATACTTCCGGTGTCGCCGCATGTCTTTAATTAAAACTAGCCTTTCAGCCGCGCTTCTGAGCAACGCGTCTGAGCAACACTTCTGATCGACAGCGCTGATCGACACGTCTGATCGGCGCTTCCAAGCAACACTTCTGATCGATGCTTCTGAGCAACACTTCTGATCGACGCTGCTTGGAAACATTTCTGAGAAACAGTTCTGATCGACACTGCTGACCGACACTGCTGGTCGACACTTCTGATCCACACTTCTTCTCGGCACTTCTGAGCAACAACTTTTTGAGCCACGCAACGCCTAGCAACACCTCGGCTCGACACTTCTGAGTAACACTTCTGGGCAACGCTTCTGACAACACTTCTGGTGGACAGTTCTGACCGACGCTTCTGACCAGCACTTCTGACACACACTTCTGATCCACACTTCTGAGAAAGAATTCTGATCGACACTGCTGCCCCACACTGCTGGTCGACACTTCTGACCCACTCGTCTGCTCGGCACTTCTGAGCGACAGACACTTCCGAGCAACACGTCCGAGCGACGCGGCGCATCTTAGCAACACCTCTGATCGACACCTCTGCTCGACACGTCTGAGCAACGCTTCTGAGGAACACTTCTGACAACACTTCTGGTCGACAGTTCTGACCGACGCTTCTGATCAACACTTCTGAGCGACACTTCTGATCGACGCTTCTGATCGACACTTCTGAGCAACTCTTGTGATTGACACTTCTGAGCAACACTTCTGAGCGACATTTATCAGCGACACTTCTGAGCAACACTTCTGACCACTGCTGACCGACACTGCTGAGCAACACTTCTGAGCAACACTTCTGCTTGAACTGCTGATCGACACGTCTGAGCAACACCTCTGAGCAACACTTGTGATGGACACTTCTGACCGACATTCCTGATCGACGCTTCTGACCAACGCTTGTCAGCAACACTTCTGACCAACACTTCTGGTCGGCAGTTCTGACCTACGCTTCTGATCAACACTGCTGAGCCACACGTCTGAGCAACGCTTCTGCGCAACACAACACTCCCAGTCGACACTTTCAACCCACACTTCAAAGCAACACCTCGGAGCAGCACTTCTGAGCCACACTTTTGATCGACAAATATATTCAACACTTCTGAACGACACTTCTAAGAGGCATTTTTGAGCAAGACTTGCATCGACACCTCCGAGCAGTACTTCTGACCGACACTTCTGAGCAACACTTCTGAGCGACACTTGTCAGCGACACTTCTGAGCAACACTGCTGACCGACACTTCTGCGCAACACTTCTGAACGACACGTCTGAGCAACACTTCAGATTGACACTTCAAAGCGACAATTCTGAAGGACACTACTGCGTGAACGACACTTCTGATCGACACTTGCGATCGACACCTCTGATCGACACTTCTGACCGACGCGTCAGATCCACACTTAAGATTGACACTTCTGATCTTTGTTTTTCTCTCTATCTCCCTCTCTCTCTACCCTCTGCACGCTCTCTCTCTCTCTCTCTCTCTCTCTCTCTCTCTCTCTACTTCTTTCATCGACACTTCTGAGCAACAACTCTGATCGACACTTCTGAGCAACACTTCTGATGGGCACTTCTGCTCGACACTTCTGAACGACACTTCTGAACGACACTTCTGATCGACGCTTCTAATCGACACGTCTGAACGACACTTCTAATGGACACTCCTGATCAGCACTTCTGAACAACACTTCTGTCTCCAAACGCGCGCCGCGCCACAGCGAAAGCGACTCGACCCGCCCAAAGAGCGCAGGGGGTTCACGTCGCGCGCGCAAAACGCGCACCGCGCCACAGCGAGAGCGATTCGACCCACCTAAAGTGCGCAGAGGGTTCACTACAGCTCAGAATGCGCACTGCGCCACAGCGAGAGCGATACGACCACCCAAAGTGCGCATTCACTTCGCGTTCTCAAAATGTGCACCGCTCCACAGCGAGCGCGATCTCGCTGGGTCAAAGTGACGCGCCTGCCACGAAATCTACACCCAGGCGCCAAAGTACTGCGCCTGCCGCGAAATTTGCACGAGAAGCTCCAAAAGTGCCGCGCCTGCCACGCAATTCAACCAAAACGCTCGAAAGTGCTGCGCCGGTCACGCAAAGAAAGCTTTCCACGAACTCAAGATCATCCAAAAACTGCTGCTCCTGCCACGAAATCCAACTTTGACACGTTTACATCAGGCGCCAGAATGATTTCGACCAATTTGGACACGCTTCAAGCTCGCCAAAACGAGCCGATTGTACGACAGGGCCAACGAAAAGGATGCCGGCGCAAACAATATCACGCGCCTGCCAAGCAGGACACCTCAAAACGACCACCCCTGAATCGCAAATCCCACTGGCGCTGCAACGAGAACACGCAGCCTTCCCAAACACTGCGCCGACGCAGCGAAATGACACGAAGCGCTACAAAAGACACGATTCACGCACGGCGTAACGAATTCAGCGCTTCAGGACTCATCGAAAAGTCACTTTTTGCGACAATCCCAATGGCACGGCAACTTCTTCCACATGGCTTTCGAACGCTTGCGGACGCTTGCGGACGCTTTCGGCCACACGCGAGCCGACCAACGAACACAACCTTTCCCGCAGACCCCACTTAATAACGGGAACCCTTCGCTACGCATTCGGGAAAATTTGAGCATCGTGCTTCCCGAAAAGACACACAAGGGGCAAAGGGAACCCAAGCCACTCATTCTATCCACCTCCCTCAAGACCGCTCGAAAAAGACGACAGGAGCCGCGCAGCCCACGAAAGCAAGAAACGGCCTACGTGAGCCCTAAAGAGGGCTCCCGGGAGCCTTGGGCCAAAGTAGCTCAAACACCGAGAGCTCACCTTTGGGCAGCACTGCTACATCGCGGGTGCCTGACATTACAATATAGTACGTGTCCGCTGGCCTAGTGAATTAGACCCTCAGGTCGTGCTCGCATCCAGCCATAGCTTTTCCTACTTTGCTGATGCTGGCATTGGACTGACTGGTGGCAAATGCTGCCATCCTGCGGGCAACGCCTGCGACTGAGGTACACGAAGTACAATCATCGGCGTCAGCTGCTTTACACCACGAATCTGAATTTCATAAGCCATTGGCATGTTGGCCTCTAGCGCAAGGAGAGGAGTATCTGTTCCTGACTCTATGTCGGCATCCGATCCATCACTCTCAAACTTGTCCAGAGTGCCGTTGGCCAGCTGCTGTGCCTTGGCAGCATCCTCGATTTGATTTCCAAGCTCGCCGATGACTTTGTAAAACTCAGCCATCCCTGGCTCCTTCGCGCTATCGGCAAATGACCGACCAAGCAGAAAGGCACATCGTGGGTCGGAGAGAAACTTGCTTGTGACGTTGAAAGCAACGTCGCCATCGGACTCTGTGGCCCCTATCTCATTGGGAACGACTCCGAGCAACTCCACGTCTGACTCATAGTCAGCAATTGACAGCAAGGCCTTGGGAAGCATCACATCCAATTTGTAGTAGCCACTGGGAAGGAAAAGCGTATCTGATGTGGGAAGCGCTGACAGCACTCGACCCAAGTCGTGGTTCCAGTTGACCAAGTCTTCGTTGGAGAGATCGCTAAAGTCAATGGCTCGAAAGTTTTCGTAGTTGTCAGGCCTCAGCACCAGAAGTTTTATTTTGGGATAGTTGCAGCCGGTGGCTACCATGCTCGAAGGCAAGTAGGACGATGCCTTCACGATCCATTCAGTGGAGTCTGGCACTCCAGCCTGCACGCCATGCAAGAAGACCAGTTCGTCACTTGTCACTTCACGCAAGCCTTGCATTACTGGCCCTTGCGCAGGCACGGCCTTCTTCACCTCGGCAGCCCAGTCAATCGAATCCCACCGGCACATAATGTAAAGCCAGTAGACGGCATGCCTAAAGAAGATACGGAAAGCTTCCAGAGCCAAAAAGCCTAAAAGAACCAAATCCATCGTTCTGTATGGCCCGACACCTGGTTGCAGCCAAACACTCAAGGCATTGAAATACATTTGTGAGGCTCCGAACTCACCGACTGTAAATTCTGCTCGCCAATGCAGAGCTGTCAATGTATTGGGGTTTCTCGTCTTGGCCTTGCCAAGAAAGGGTGATGCAGCGATTAGCAGGATACCGCAAAGCACGCGCATCACTGCCAAGATGAAGCGAGAGTCTATCAGCCAGGCATCGGCATTGCCTTCAAATGACGTTTCAAAGCCTTCTCCGTTGACAAGCTCCGTTATTGCCACCGGAAGTTCAATGAAAACCACTGGACCCAAAAATAATGCAAAACCTGCAAAGTGCAGCATGACCCAATTCAGCTGATACAGCATTTCAATGTTTGACACCTTCTTGCCCGCCCGGATTTCCTTGTTGCCAGCACCAGCACCGCTCACTACGGGAGTCTGCAAAACCATCAGCAACCCAAATGGAGTCAACAATCCGCGCGCTGCATGAAAAACGAAGCCCCACATATCCTGACCTCCACATCGCATCATGATGCCACCAATGGCCATCAAAACCGTGCTTGGTTCCACCATTGCCTTGACCATCTGGCCCTCGGATGTCGCCTCATCACCAAAGGTCTCAGAGAGTGTCTCTGGGTGGGTCCTCATCAGCAAAGAATAATCCTCTTTTCCGGTCCTGTTGTATTTTTCCTTGAAGGCTTTGAAATACACATGGCGGTTGGCAGGGGATGAGTACCAAACATCAATCGACGCTACAAATGCTGAATGACACATCCTTGCAGAGAAGTAGGTCACCACCGCTCCCACACACTGAACCATCAGCTGTGGCTCCATCTCGCTGTGGGCCCTGTGGGCACCACGAACTGCTCAAGGCAAGTGTTTCAAATGCTCCCTTGAGCCAACGCACTGATCACAGGGTGTGCGATCCTTGAGAACTGGCTATTTTCGAAATGCATGAAACTGTTCATCCTCCAAAAACAACGAAGGCTTTTAGTGAGTGACTCGCTCAATGTGTACCACACAAGAGTTCTGCAAGGTCCGTCAAATCTTCAACCCGCACGCGGCAAATGGCTGGCCTGAATGATGTTGCGCTCGCTGACATGTTGCACACTTGCTGCAAATTGCTTTGCTCTGACGCTTGGAGTTCGGCATTCCCAAGCTGAATGATGTCAGTTTCGTGGCAAACCAGCTTGTCGAACTGCTTTCGGCTGAGAATGTGTCATTCTGGGCGTGCTTTCAGTCGGATGTAAATGCACAACATATTGACTAATTTTTAGTCATGGGACTCCCAGCGAAGCTTGAATCTGCAGAGCAATGGACTAGTCAGCCGGGGCGAACCCAAAAACACGAGCAGCCAGAAGGCGCACACCCTTTCTGCACGAGCTACCCTCGTGTCAATGGGGAATGCTATGCCCTGCTTCTCCGCGAGCTTGTCACAGACCTCAAGCCCAATGATGCAAACAAAAGGACAAACAAAAAGGACAAACCCTTCAAAGCTTTCAAAGGTGCACCGCATTCGCTTTAGGTCTCTGGCCTCCACCACTCGACTTTTGGCCTGAAGGCTCTGGAGCAAGTGATCTGTAAGATTCCGCAAGTTTTGCCTTTCTTCTCTCACGAACAAGGCGAATGACTTATTTGAAGGGACACAAGTGGGACCATGTCACAATGTCGCATGGCTAACCCACCGTTGCTGTTCGCAATTGAAGTCTGCTGAAGAGCTTGTGGTCAGAAAACCAGAGGTAGGATAAGAGAATCACGCAGGTCCAACAACTGTGTCGTGTTCCAATCAAGTGAATCAATGCAGGATAAACAGAATTGAAAGCCTGGCCAGCAACAACGAAGAGTTGAAACAAGCCATGGCCCACAAGAGTTTTGCAAGACCACGGTCAATACTTTAACCTGCAACAACGAAGACGGTAGCGGCATGCATCCGAATACAAACACATACAATTTTTGGACACATAGGGCACACGCAATCCGGCTTGCGCGTTGCGCATTTTTTTGAATGCGTCTTTCACATGATCATCATGAACTGCGTTGCAGAACCAATTCAAACGGTCTTCAAGGTTTTTGGCACAGGTTTGTAACTCCGGCGCAGCAATCTGCAAAAGTTCAATAGGATGCTACACATCTGTGAATCACATCTTGCTAGACCACTAAACTTGCAACGATCCTGCTAATCCGACCTTGCAGCAAGAAGATGTTGACCTGGCCGGCTGTGAACTAGCAAAAATGTGACTAGACAGTTGCACAGGCTCCGCCTCACAATAGGTATCGGCTAGGTCCCGGTTCCCAAGAAGCGGAAACGGATCTCCTTCGAATGAACACAAGCGCTTTCCAAGGTGCCAGCCTTTGCATCGGAAACTCGCTCGCGTAGCACACACCACGTTTGCAACCCATTCAAGCCGCAATCACTCAATATCAAGTGGAAGGCTTCGAAGAACTGCGGCCGACTTCACGAAGACTGCATGCAAGATGTCATATGTGCCATGAGTCCTGATTGTTTCGTGCCCGCTGCTTTGGTCTTGCGCAAGGAATATGATCTTGGTTTGCCTCATCACGGCGCTCACGCACCAGCAAAGGCACGCACTAAGCGTCTAATGCCCGGCATTCTCACGAGCTGCCTCTTCCAGTCTAGGGCGCTTGTCCGGAAAGTCGTGCAAGACATCCTGCATGCATGAACCAAAACATCTTTGCATTTCGGTGCAATTCGGATGCGAGGCTCTAAATGCACCGCACACGACAATTCTCGCTTGTGACCTAAAGTGTATCGGCCTACCATGCGAAACTGCTTGTCAACGCTAGCGTGTCCTCCTTGTCGCTTTACAGGAAAGAATCATGGTTCCTTTCAACCTCTTCTGGGAAAAGGCACTTATCGTTGTCATGTTCGGCGTGGCGAGTCCGGCTAGCAAGACTCGGTAGCAACCTCCGCAAGGCAACTGCTGCCTGTCACTGTCCAACTCGAGTGAGCATCATTGTTGCTGTGCCAACACAAGGGATGGCTAAATACATACTTTACCAATTCAGGAACCCAAGGAATATGGCAATAGCTAGGCAGAAGTAGCACAAAATCTGCATCAAACGTGAATCTTTGATTGTAGTCCTTATCATTTAACATGCTCAACAGCTCCTACGGCTTCGCTCAAAACTGCATGTGACATTCTGACTATCGCTGGCTGCAGTCCTCCTCTGGCCGCTGCCTTGGCCTTGCCATGGCTTTGCTCCGACCAGCCTCGAGCTGAGCAAAAACCCTGTGACTCACAGCGACGCCGTGGGGCTTGCTAAAGATACTCTAAGCGCACCGCCTGGGGCGAGCGCCGCAAGTCCTGAGGAGGCCCCTGGCGCAAAAAGTCCTGCTTGCGAACCAACTCCTGCTCTCCGGCCGACTCAGGCGACGTATCCTTGGCGCGAGACCCAGTCTCCTAGCCTCTTTAGGGATTCAAAGGTTGCACGGGCTGGCTATGTTGTGGCAAGAGACGTCACAGGCTGCGCTGTGCCTCACGCAAACATAAGCAGTTCAAAACATAATCAAACTTACCAATGGCTTCGCCAGCCCTGTTCAGCATTGAGGGAACAAACTAAGCTTGAAACTGCTTTCCATTGTCGCTTCTTGCCTTCCCAAGCAATACCCGCCCAGCCCCATGAGCCGGGGGATACTAGATGAATGAAGCGGCGCCAAGCGTCGAAGTGCAGTGAAAAGCGTTGTCTTTGCGATGAGCTCAAGTCGCACTAGCACAAGGTCACTTGTGATAGGTGCTGGGGTCTACCTGAGTTGCCGCCTCATCTTGGCCAGCGTTGGAGCTTAGATGGATCAAAGGAAAATTAGAACTTTCGTGGCACGGCGCCTCACAACTGTCCTGCCACGGGCCCCTCCCGTGTAGAAGCATATGAGAATCGCAGTTTCCTCGCAACTCCACACGAGTCACACCTACAAACCTAGCTGTGTGGAGCGGGCGGTTTTGGAGAATGCGCAGAGCGGGTTCCGAGCGGTCTTGAAGGAGTGACGACTAGAACGACCACGTGAGCCACACGCTGTTTTGCAGCCTCCAAATAGTGAACCTTGGAGGCCTTGGGGCATCTTTTTTTGAAACACAAGTGTGTTTAGCTTAGCGTCTTTAGCTTAGCGTGTTTCACTTCGCTCGCGCAACCCTCGTTTGCTGCATTGTTCTACTGACTCACCTGGTCGTTGGCCAAATAAACCTTCTATCTGGCTGTCTAGTTTAACTAACCAACTAACCCACGAGCTAGCTAGCTAGCTAAGCATCTGCTTAGCTAGCTAGCTAGCTAACTAACTAATTAACTAACAAACTAACTCATTAACTGACTAACTAAGCAACTAGCTAGCTAAGCAAATAAGAAATTTAATGGCTGACTCACTAGCTAGCTAACTAACTAAGTCACTAACTAGCTAGCAAGCTAAATAGCTAAGTAAGCAACTAGCAAGCGAAGCAGCTCAGTAACTAATCTAAGTAACTAAGTAACTGAGTAACTAAGTACCTAACTAACTGACTAACTAACCAACCAACCAAACAACTAAACTAAACTAGAATAGAAAAGTGTATTGTACGCCCGGTTCAAGAAGAGGGTAAAATACCAGCAAATCCAAGAAATGTCCATAGGCCGCGGGCGCTCTCACTTTCCGTGAATGATCTTGAGCCAAAGTTGGTATTTGGTATATGGATTCAATCCATGCGTGGCATGTTCTGCGCAAGTCACGTGAAAAACAATGGTCAGGTTTGCTGTGAAACGGCGGATCATGCATCACAAACTCACGCAACCGATGCTTCAAAGGCAACACAACACAAGTGGTGGCGCATTGTGGCATCTCGCCCTAGTTGGGAAGGTTTTACCCCTTATTCTTTAACTCCCCCTTCTTGCGAGGCGGGGAGGCAAGTTTTCATGCGAAGCAAGTTCAAGGCATGCTGCTACTTTGCGGGTGGCAGAGCTTTTGTGAACACGTCGGCAACTTGCTTGTCAGTCGGAATGTACCTGAGCGTGATTTCGTCATTACAGCTGAAGACCTCATACAGCGAACGTCTTAGGTAAGTGCCTTAGCTTAGCTGAATAGCCAGCCTGGACGATCGAGATTAACGCACTGTTGTCCTGGTGACAATGTAACTCGATGTCCTTATTTAGCATTATCTCACTGACTTCGAGCAAAGGAAACGCTTCTCCGAAGAGACCGACACACAAGGACATTATCTCAGCCTTGGTAGTCGGTCTGGCGGTGGCAGTTTGCCTCTTACCCAACCAGGCCAAAGACCAGAAACTGTTTGGTCCTCCAAGGGTGATGTAAGCTCCGGAGGTGCTTTGAGCATGCTCAGTCTCGCTGGCATGATCGGCGTCTGTGTAAAGATTTCGGCTAAGATCATCCCCGCTTTAAGTGACCAAAGTCTGATGAGGTGTCGCCCTGACATAGCCCATAAGTCTAAACAGCTTTTTATCATCCGCAAGTAACCATTTGGTTACATAAGGTCGTTTGTTGGCTTCAAAAGGTCAGGACGTGCAAGTCTCAAGTAGCATAATAACTTCATGAGTACTTGACAAGCTGACTCGGCAAGGGCCCCCTTGACCTTTTAGTCCGATGCAACAAGTGACCCGTACGGAAGGAAGGGCGTCTGAGCAAGTTTGTCTTCCCACCCAGCTCTATATACAAGTCGCACGCACTCTTGCTGACATCGGGCATGTCAAGACACATTTTAATCCCTTTTTCAGAAACAGTGTTTTCTGCCCAACACCCTATCAACATCAGTTGGAGGTTCAATTTCCAAGTGCTTCTCCAGTTCCGCCCAAAATGATTGCATCTCTTGGGACGGACCTGAAAGGACCATGTCATCGACGTACAAAGTCATCAGCAACTTTCTTTCTGGGAACCAGTACGAGGACTGAAACATGTCAAGATGTTGGCCTCCCACGTCAAACACGATTTGTTTGAACTTCATATCCGGCTTCTCCAGAGTCGAACACATGGCCTCTTCACACGCTTATACTCGGCCAGCTCTGGCGGCAGTTCCACCCACGTTGGGACCTTTGTCCTCAAAGTGGATTGCGTGTAAGCCTGAACGACGTCTGACATCTTCCCTTTTGCGGCTCCATAGGCGAGATTGAAGTTTATGCCCACCAATCCAGTGGGGTTTACTTTCACCTCCTGAAGTATTGCAAGGTTGTTATGCTCATTACGGATGTCGTCGCCTCTGGGCACTGTCCTGGCTTTGAGTTTCCTCATTTCTGGAATTTCATAGTGTTTGATCGAAAGGATGGTCATTCGCCTCCCGATGTTCAAGGGCTCTTTAACCACTTGTTCATAGGTCCGCGTTTGGTTGGCAATTAAGCTGTTTGCTGCCTTTTGGATTGCCCTCCTGTGCATTGGGATGCTGGCGCCACTCTTTGCGGTCCATCAGCATGTGAACACCGGCAAACATGTTGGATAACTCCGGTGGCATTTCATGATTTGTAGGCTCGTGCTGGACGAAAGGCTCAACCGGCATTGCGCCTATCCGCCGACATTGCTCGGGCGTGTCGGACACCTAAGAGAGGATAGAGGATAACCCCCCCCCCCAAACTGCCCCCCCCCACCCGACGTCTGATACGTGGGGGGGGGATGACGTTCCACTAAACGTAGTCTTCACGGAGCAAAACAGGGGTCCCAGGCTCGATTCCCCCTGCCGGCTCTTTGCTGGTTTGGGGTTCCTGCCTCATTTTGCCGAAAATCTGGCAGTTTTTGGACGTCCTAATTGCGAAAACGCTGGAAAAACCAGTCGACATGACAGGAAAGCAGCGGGACATGAAAGGGAAACAAAGTCGAACTGAAAGGGACATGCAAGGGCCAGAAATGAAAACAAGGGGTGCAGGGGGAATGAAAGGGAAACAGAGCACAAGGAAACCAATCGGCCCGACGGGAGATGTAGGGAAATGACTCGCAACGAAAGAACGGGACATATATGGAAAGTGAAGCGGACATACCGAGAAAATGTCAGGGACATGAAGGGGGAGTTGAAAGGCATGGAAGGGACAGGACCAGGACATCATGGGAAACGCGAAAAGGACATGAAGGGGAAATGAAGGGGAAGGTGAGTAGTGAGATGACAGTTCAGGGTCATGCAGGGGCCCGGACATTGAGACAACTCAGGGGGGACGTGACGCTGCAATGCAGAGAGAGAGAGAGAGAGAGAGAGAGAGAGAGAGAGAGAGAGAGAGAGAGAGAGAGAGAGAGAGAGAGAGAGAGAGAGAGAGAGAGAGAGAGAGAGAGGGAGAGAGAGGGAGAGAGAGGGAGAGAGGGAGAGAGAGAGAGGGAGAGAGAGCGAGAGCGAGAGCGAGAGAGCGAGCAAGCGAGAGAGAGCGCGAGCTTCTGGGCTCAGGCTGTCAAGTAGCGGAGCTGTCTTTCTAGGTTGCTGGCCTAGATAGCTGACTGAGCCATGGAAATTCATTCACGTGATTGCAAGCACAGTATACTGGAAATGGTGCAGGAATATACACCTCTGTCGAAGCTTTGTGCGTGCCAGCAGGGGTACTGCTCTTTTCGCATCCGGGTTGTGCAGCCGGAGTCGAAGATTCTCATGACGGGTCCTTCAGAAAGGCAGACTTGGTATATGGTTTTCTCTGCGGATGTGCTTCAGCCACTTTTGCATGAGGCGACTGAATTCCTTGGTGACCGGATTCATGATACTTGTGATGCCCGTGCACACTCAACAATGGTCATGGTCCGCTGTCCTTTGGACGTATGGGAGACGCTTGCGTGTTTTTCGGCTTTCGGCACGTTGTACCATGTGAAGTGCATTTCTTGGAAATCAGATTTTGCGAACCTTCCTTATTTCGACTTGCAACCTGACTCTGCGGTTTTTTCGCCTGATGACAAGCGTCAGCGTTCGGAACTCACCACTGCTGAACTTTTCTCGGGAGGGTATGCCGGTTGGCGTCAGGCTCACGACTGCATTTCCAGCGTGTACGTAAACAAAGTGGTCAAAACCTTGTGGGCTTTGGATCACAATTCGGATGCAGCCACCACGTATAGCAAATCCTTTCGAGATGTGCAGATTGTACAACAGGAAACACACTCGCAGATTCATGAAACGATCTCTTCGGGAACCATGCCCTTTTTCTGTTGCGACATTGCGGAAGATTCTTGGTTGCAGAGCGTTGTTGGATTTCACTTGGATTCCTTGTCTTGCAGCGCGCCATGTATTTCTTGGTCTGGAGCTCAATCTCAGCTTGGGTTGGAACATCCTGGAGGTATTGCCTTTGTTCAGGCCTTGAAGAAACTGCGTGTGCTTTCGCCATCGATTTTCTTGATCGAGAACGTTGCAAAGATTCGGGACCACAAACATTGGCCGATATTGGAAGCTTTGCTCAGATGGTGCCGTTTTCAGATCTGGTGGGCATCCACCACAGATTTGCAGGATGTGGGACCTCAGCACAGGGAGCGTTTCTTGCTCGTTGCCTGCAGCCTTGATGTGCAGTCTGAGCCTCAGTCCAAGAGTCAAGGATGGGTAAAGCTCAAAGCTCATTCCCTTGCTTCATTCGGGGCACATGTCTCGGTTGGAGCAGACAGTGCATGGGCTGGCTATGCGAAGATTTCAGATGAGGCATGGCGACTGCATTTTGACCGTGAGGTTTT